CGGCATATGGTGATCGTTTGATTCCAGAATGCAGACTGGAATTTTTCTGGAATTGTACAAATTTTATGCCCACAGACCAATCATTTGTGTTATTATCTTCCATCCAAGCAACAAGCATATCCTTTATGTCACCATTTGCCCTTTCCACAGACCCTTGACTTTGAGGGTGTCGAGGTTTACCATGAACCATGACCAGTCTGGGCTGCACCAGCTTCAGTTCAGAGATAACCTCGGCTGTAAATTCACTTCCATCGTCGCTCTGGAGGATCAATGGGGCATCCTAGAAGACGAAAAGTATCCAGTAAATGATGGGCAACCCCAGCAGCACGTTTTGAGATGCTCGTAGAATAACAAATTTGGTCAAGTGGTCTTGATAGACCATGATCCACTTGAATGAATTTTGGGCCATGGACTGCATATCAATCAGATGAATTTGTGCACGCGAGGCGAATTCTTTTGTTAGAATGGGACGTACCACCACACCCTTGGTCCTTGGGCGCTTGCGTTTCTTCTGACATTCCTGGCAGTACGACTTGAAAATTTCAAGAGCCTCCCTAGTGATGTTAGCATACTTTTTGTTGACCTCTTTGGCCATTCGATCACGTCCACCATGTGAGCTCGCTTGACCACATCATATGTGTCTTCTATACTGACATAATATACTGGATCCTCATCTTGGGTGGCACGCTTTTAGATGAGTTTCTCAACATCACCGTACTGCAGTATCTCAAATATGATACATTTTTAAAAACTATATTTAAAAGATACTTAAACCATGCATATATGTTATGTTTGAAAAATACACCCCAGACCCATCCTATATTCAAAAAATGCTGACAGAACAAAAACATGTATAACTAGATCGGCCAGGCAGATATGAAAGCTTTCATGTTTACGGCCACTTCCTGTCACATGTCATGGGTTATATAAAAATATGAAAAATAAAAAGAAATGACTGACACTGGCATTGCTGTAATATGATTGACTTCCAGTTCCAGACAAATCGAGCAAACCGTCTAAAATCAAGACGAATCAGAAAATGAAATGAAAATGGCGGGAAAATATTGAAAAAAGAAATGATATAATGACAACATCCATAATGAAATAGACAACTCTTTCAGAAATTAAACACAATGATTAATGGATAACTTGTTTTGAAGTATTGACAATGATTTTATCAAGTTTTTAGATACACAACCCCACAACACCCTGAAAGAAGATTAAATTTAATTAATATTGTCAGTGAAAATAATTGTTGATACATGCATAAAGAATTAACATACTTTCACTTAAATACAAACACCATTTGAACAAAGACTTTACCAATCATTAATGGTCCCCTAGAGGCCGGGTAATTAAATCAGTGAGTATTATTTACTCCGGATGCTATAGTGATTCCTTCAGATGGAAATCACATCATTCATCTGGTACCATCCATTAAACTAAAAACAGGTTATTAGAAGGGCAGGATTTAACCCTATAAGTTCATTAAATTCCAATAAAAACAACCATTCTACAGACCCAATGCCAAGAAAAGCGAAATAAAAACTAAAAACCAATATTAAATGGGTTTTTTTAAAGTTTATGTTGTAATTTTATGTGTTACACATATTGCCTGATTTGCAAAATCTGCAATCAGGCATTAAGTGTAAAAAGAAGGTAGGAATTTTAGCCATTTCGTGTAATGTCTGGAATTTTCAGTCATTACACGTATTGCCTTGTGCTCACAGGCTCTTCGCGAAATGACTGATTCGTTTAGTCATTACACGAAATGACTGATTACACAGATTGACTGTAACATATACACTTCTATGGAGCAAAGTCTCAAACAATGAGCTATATACATAGAGTTATAAATAGAAGTTTATATTACAAATCTATGCCTATATATAACATTTATACATCACTGGTTTCAAACGTTAATGTAACCAAGAATCATAACTCGTTGTGTCACATTCATTGAATGTTAATTGTTTTCAATGGTATTAAGTAATTGGACTGGAAATACACAGGTGGTAATTCTATGGAATTACTATTTATTACGACACGTTCAGTAATAAACAGTAATTTTATTCCATATAATTGTGACCTGTGTGTAGGCCTATTGCTTTGAAAACAAAGTCGTATAGATAGACGTCATTTTTGCTGTAGAATTTTTCATTAAAGGGGTAACGTCTTGTTCGAAAACGTTGGGAGTGGTAGAATATGACATGCAGGAATTAATAATATTGGTAAAAACGGGAATAACTTCGTCTAAACGGTCCTCAAGAACAGGAGTCGGAACAGGATCTAACGAACAAGATTTGGGAACAGAAGATATAATTGGGTTTAAAACAAGATTCACTAACGAAGTGAACATTTTCTAAATGAACATAATTGTCTAACTTATCAAACGCATGAGTATTAAAGTCAATTGTTTTATTTAAAACATCAAGTTCAGTTTTTATTTTCTGTATTTTTATTTGAAAGTAATTCGAGAATAAATTCGCAAGTTCGATGTCTTTATCATTGTCCGGGAGAATAGTCTATTCAGAATTATGATCCAAAAATGTATTCACAACTTTATAGGTCGTTTTGTCTGCTGTGTCTGTCAACATTTTCTATTTTATCAGAGTAAAATTTAATTTTACCGTCTTCAATTAATTTATTCACATTGGTTCTCGTTTTATGAGGCAAAAATGAGTCCAAAATTTCAGCAAGTTTATAGTGATACTGAGTTGGTTTCTTCGTGAACCTTATTATAATAAGGTCCATGGTTTCTCAACAAATTGAACTGATTGTTCTTTGTAGCTTATTCGACATTTGGGCACCATTAATAAGGAAATATAGTTTTCCTCTGAGTCTCTTATATAAGCAGGCACATGGATTAGTTAAGACAAGATCGAGAATATGTCCACAATTATGAGTTGAAGAAGAAGCGTGTGAGAGATTTGTTATTCAACATTTCACAAAGATCAACCGCGATTGAGTCATTGGAGTCATCAACATGAAAATTAAAATCCTCCTAAATAATAGTGCGATAAAATTTCCTTGAAAAGAAACTGTAGGGAACAATCCAAAATGCTGTAAGGAACAATCCAAAACGTTCATGACGGGCGAACTTAAATATAAGTGCTAAACCTCCTCCACGTGAATCTGTGTGTCAATGTTGTACAGAATATCCATCGGTTACTAAAGCTGCGATTGTCGATGAATCCGAAATGTCATTATGTGCACGTTTCAGTTATTCTACATACATCAATTGAATGTTCAACAATATAATCAGATAAAATTGTCGTTAATTAATCCCAAGGAAGTTGTTAAAACTGACGCTTCATTTGCGACCGCCTTTTTAATTTATTATTTTCTGTTTTATTCTAAAGTTCTTATTTGTTTGTTAACTTTGATCGAGTTTAGGGTGAACTGGATAAGATTGTTATGATTAATGTTAGTACTCACTGGATTAGTGTTTAGGGGATTATAATATTAGGTTGTCAGGACGTTTCTTGATTTGTTCCCAATTTATAGGAATAGTTCTAGGATTGTTCTATCATTTCTAATAATTTCATTAAAACTTGAATCTTTATAACCCACTGTTTTCGCTCCTCACACCTCTGTAAATGAGGTTTAACGTCCTACTGTTCTCCTCTGACTGGGCTAATGATGAAGGACACACGCCATGCAGTGTGCTATGGGGGAAATTTTGCCCAGACAGCGGCACTACGGCCTACTCTTATATCGAATTCCAACTTTCAAGGGATCTTTTACGTGCACGCCAATGTGCACTTCGGTTTTTCGTCCCATCCAAACTACTAGACAGCTGTCCTTGCCATGCCCTCTGTCCTGCACCACTGGCAAGGGGGAACAACGCCGGATCTATTATTAAAACACGAGACTGGGTTTGAAGGTTATTGTTATATACTATCTGTAGGGGTTATTTCAGTTCTATGAAAGGTGCTCTGTTTAATATATTTGAAGCGTTAAACAAATGGGGGACGGCGGATATAGACTAATTAGGTACGCTGCATTATTCTACAACTTTCTTAAATTGACTCACTGACAGGTCTGCCACTATCCGTTTCTGGAAGTGTGTTACTGTTGCCCAGCAATCTGGTGCAGAGATTAGTCCAATTGTATAAAACAAGGTTGACGAAAACGGATGCCCAAATGAAACACTTATCTAAATATGGTAACGGTCCGCCATAAACATTTTATATTAATTTTAAAGAGCGCGATTATATTTGCTTCGGGCATCATTTAGTATTCTCAGAAGGAGGTTCTTACAGTCTCCTCGGCTTAGAGGCTTGGATACAGATATCATACGGGGTTCCTAGAGAGACATTATGGATGTTATAAAGATATATAAACATAGTTATAACCACAGAGTGTTCCAAAGTTAATTTATTATTGAGTAGAAAAGTACACAACGTGGAAATCCTACCGAGACACAGGATTGTGTCACCGTCCGTTTTCTAGAGAGAGAGAGAGAGAGAGAGAGAGAGAGAGATGGGGTTTAACGTCCACTCGACACAATCTAGGTAATTTCGGGACTAACACATGTTTCAATTTATTTCAATAATTCGCTTGCGTGTTTGGGTCTTTAGCAGCAGAAGGAAACCGCAGGACTCGGAGAAAACCCACGAGGTGAGGTTGGACAGGCGACCCTACTCCTTGTCATGTACAACCGGGGAATCGAAACCACGCCAGTTGACTCAATAACAGACCTTATGATACAGCGCGCACGTGCTAACCATTCCGCCATCCAACCCCCCAGAGGCAGTGGACTGGTTAATTGAGAATATTTTGGTCTCGAACCACCAGTGATATAGTCTGTTATGAATAATCAAACTAAATAGACATCAAAACAATCCTCAGTCAATCTTGATTCTTGATCTCTGACATTAATTTAGTAATTTCGAACAAATTAATGTTTCAAGCGGTCATATATGGAAATGTAATATGAACGTATAGAAAGGAACTATATTAACATATTATCAACTGCTTTTTTTTTTTTTTTTCAGAAATAACAACGGAATCGGTTGAAGGAAATATTTCTGGGCTGAAAAATCTGAATTGTGTAATACTAATAGTGCTACTGTGATCAAAGAACAAGTGGTTTGATAAGTGTAGGCGCACCACCATAATGGCGTTAATGGATTCATTCTTTCAACTTAAGACTTACTTCGTAATTGTCAGTTTCATAACTGTGTTTGTAATATTGAATCTTCTGGGATCTATGAGATATATCTATGCATACAAAGAAATTATGAAAAAAATAGAGATGCCTACCTCGAGTAGTATGTACATATATTTGATGAGTAATTCACCCATAATTAGTGATAAAAAGGTTATGCTCAACTACAATATAACATCAAAGACCGCGATGGCAGTGGCACCCACACCAACACCCAGGCCTAATAACTGCACGGGTTGTTTTCAACACAATTTTAAATATATGATATCAAACGAAGCCGTGTGTAACGTTAAGGGAAATAACTCAGTGGAGCTGTTTGGGTTTATTTTTACCATTCATTCAAATTCTGAACAGCGAAATGCGATTCGTAAAACATGGATGTCATTTGCAGGTAACAATACCTCAAACGTTCGTTATCTATTTATGTTGGGTAAATCCTCAAACGATGAATTGAATAAGAAAGTTGCGGAGGAGGCGACCATTTTTAATGACATATTAATGGAGGATTTTCACGATTCCTATCAGAATTTAACTTACAAGACAATGATGGGATTTAAATACGTCACCAAATTCTGTAATCACACAAAATATGTTTTAAAAATTGACGATGATATTTGGCTCAACATGCCTTCCCTTCTGAAACTGTTACAAAAGGAAGGCAACAAACTTACCGCAGCAGTTGGTGGTGCGTGCCACGCATCCGCTGGTCCAATTCGAAGTAAATCATCAAAATGGTACGCCTCTTTTACGAGTTATCCGTCCAATTCCTATCCAGGTTTTTGTTCCGGGACCGGATATGTTTTAAGCGCCAATGTTGCCCAAAAAGTCTACGAAGTATCGAAAAACGTACCTTTCTTTCATCTGGAAGATGTGTATGTGGCTCTGTGTATTAAAAAGTTGAACTATAAATTGATACGGTTTTCAGGATTTCTGAAAGGTTGGTCGAAGAACAATTTATGTGCTATGAAATCAGATGACACCAGAACTTGTCATCAAGTCCCTCCAAATATTTTAACATCTGCTTGGGCAGCGGTGTGTTAATAATATATTTTAAAAAAAATCATTTTTTAAAAGGAATTATATTAAAACCTATATCTATTATGCAACTTCGCACTGACAACTTTTGTAAGAAATAAATGCTCACAGGAATTGTTCTTATCGTACTAATTTGAATTTAAAATATGGATTCATCAATAAATTCGAGTAATCCATTCTTGAATACACCATCCTAACAATAAATGAAGGTATGAAATCCGATTTAGCGTCCTACTTTTCTGGGCCAATCAAGACGGGCATACAGTGTGCTATGAGGGACATTTTGCCCGGACAACGGCGGAACGACCTACGCTTATCTCGAATTCCAACTGCCAGGGGTTCTTTTACGTACACCAATGTGTACAAGTGGGCCTCGGTTTTTCGTCTAAGCTGAAGGACTGGACACTGTCATAGTTAAATACCCTCTGCCCTGATTCGTTGATCTCAGGAACTGTTCCCGAGATCAACGAATCATATGCGTGTGGTAGGTATACTCCAGTATCCCGGTTGAGTTCTGGCTGGTTTCTTCTGATGTTAACTAGTTTTAAAACAGTGTTATTTTTAATCAAGTCCATAAGTTTATTGATATGTCAAACAGATTTTAATCTCGATCAAATGGTATTTTATTTTCAATTATATGTATAACTGGCTGGTTTCTCTAATGTTGTTTATTAACAAAATATGTATGTAATGCTTGTCTATATTTATATATTTAACTATAATCTATATAATGTGTATGTGCTTGCCATTTTAACTTTGTATATACACCCCTTTGCATTAATATTATGTATATATATCATTTAGGGAGAGGGGTTTTACATTGGCCTGTCCCATTCAGATATCCTGAATAAAATATTGTTTTGTTTTTGTTTTTTTATTAAAATAAATAAATAAAAGAATTAGAAGCAAACCTTTGATAAATAAATAAGTTTGAATATGTTTTTAGTCCAAATATATCACCAAATTACATAGCGCGTAGTTCATGATATTATTTACAAACAATTACTATAGGACACAAGTCTTCATTTGCATCTGGGACAGGACACGCATTTCGGATGTTTTGCTAATTATCTCTTAAACAAATTTGCTCCTGTGGATAAGGATATTTTTATTTTCACCTTCTTAGGAACTTAGATATTTAATTTTCTTTGCACAACTTAGATTTGTAATTCTTATAGCCGTTCAATATTTTCAGAATTACTAATTATCTCGAACCAGTCTTTGGTATTGACATCTGACAGTCTTAAAAATTCGACAAATAATGTAAACATAACTTATTTTAGTTTCCCAAGTGTTCCATCCTAACTCAGCAAGTTTACATAATATTAAATATATATTTTTTGGTGATCAGTGTTGGCTGAAAAGTTCTAAGTCTGTCTGTACAAAGTTAATGGTTTCCATGTATTTTTCTACATAGTCCCCTTCGAAGTGTACATGTGTTTGCCAATGATGCTGCAAGGCCTGGATGCCGGCCTGGGAGAAATTTTCTTTACCCACCCTAAAAAAGTCGTTCACAGCTGACATGACGTCATCATTACTAGGACAATGACTGAATTTTGGATTCTGGCTACAAATCTGGCCCCCAAAAATTTATCAGGAACTGCTTCAAAACGGCGCAGATTGTCATGAAAGGTCAGGAATCTGACACGTTTCTGATCCGCAGTCGAGAAAAAATGAAATGAAATTTGGTTTAACGTCATACTGTTCTGCTCCGACTGGGTTAATGAAGACGGGCGTCCGCCATACAGTGTGCTATGAAAAAAATTATGCCCGGACAGAAGGCGCTACAGTCTACTCTTATATCGAATTCCAACTGTTAAGGGATCTTTTCGTCCTATCCGAACAACTATACGTTGTCGCTAGCCAGGCCAGAAAATCAGGGATCGAACACTCGACGTCCAGATAAGCGAGCTAACGTCTTACTCATTGAGCCACGTGGCTCTCCACAGTCAAGACCCTTAGCACCCTTCTTGCAGAAACTTTTGTCATTCCTAACTCGGCTATAATCAGGCCCGTAACTAGGGGGGGGGGGGCGCAGGGGTGGGTGGGGTGAAAAAATTGTCGAACTTAAAAAAAAATAGATATACATTGTCCGTCAATTTTACAGCACCGTTGAGAGACCCCCCCCCCCCCTTTAGTTGCTTTGAGCTAGTTAAGACCCTGGGTATAATGTGCTCAACTCTCTTATGGGAGATGCCCACAACACGGGCAATATGTCGAGTGGTCAATCGTCGACCAGCCATCATCTGTCATGCACCAGGGTAATGCTTTCTTGAATGATTACTGTTGATGGCCTTCAAGGACGAGGGTCCTTAAATTCCACAGCCCACTTCTTTACTGTAACATTATGTAAACATATTTGGTCCAATTTGGAGCTCTGTTTAAAGTGTACTGATATTGCTGGAACAGAAATTCTATTACAGCAGTGTTAAGTGGGATTAGCTCTAATCAAACGAAACACTGCGATGAGTATGCCGAGACCTTGACTTTGAACCTGACTTCAAATTTCCCATCGAGCTTGGGGCCTTTGCGCTTATGTCCCACACTGATCCGCAGTGAATATTTGCTAGGCTGCTACAATCACTGATAAGGATGACATCGATGCGGCTTAATGAGCCCGTAATATTAACTTTTTTCCTGCGACAAATTAAATTCTAAAACATTTTTTTTATGTATTGGAAAAATAAATAAAGGCGTTTGACGTATTTGTAGGTAAAAATTATTTCCTATTTAGTGTAAATGGGTATTAAAATGACTAAAATGCAGCATTCTCTCCGAAGCAGTAACGTCTTATGTAAACAATGCACGCGCCATTCAGCCAATGATTGACGCCGCGTGCTTGTGACGGCACGTGTTAAGGCTGTCATCTTTGACAGAGATATATTACTAGACTCGTAATTCTCTGTGAAACAGATTGCTTATGTCCCGGTTGAAAGCAGATAAGATACCCTTCAGAAAAGATGATTGGGTAAAATAAAATTCAGTCAAACTAAACAATTCTAACAGCACATCGTGGGTATTTTTAACTTTCAAACTCTTCGACAACTTAAAGGAAATAATAAATAGCTATTCTTTGGCACCTAGAAATAGACACAAATGTAATATAAATGGGGGGGGGGGACTATCCCATTTCCTATAGGATGAAATTCTATAGTATTGCTACAGAGATTTGGGGGCCTGTAGAAAATAATGGCTTCAAATATTCTACAGTTTCTGTAGTGCAAATCCTATATTTTCTCCAACAGATTTATACTAAAACTTTCTATAGGAAAATAATATATTCTATAGACTTTTTATAGTGTTACTTATATTCAAATTAAGTCGTGTTTGCAATGTCAAAGACAAGTGGATGCAATCATGACCTATAATACAAAACTTCATTCAAATATGGATACAGCAAATCCTGATATTAAAGAATAAAATAAGAAAAACTCTAAAGTTTTAATTTATTTATTATGTAACTATATTAAAAATGGTAATGATATAAATTTGATATAAAACTAACTTATTAATGCTAATACTTTATCCTTTATGTCTGAAAACATCGATCATAAAGCTGTTCCCTAAAAATATAGATCAACATTTTATATGACATGTTGATAAATCACATGGATTAAGATAAATTGAGCAACATCAACAATTTTATGGAATAATTTAATTGCAATAAGAACCACTTACTCTCAACACCCGAGTCTATCCGAAGCCCTAATCTCTATGAATCTTGACATATAAAAGTTTCACTACATGATATGCAGAATTCTCCATAACCTAACACAAGGCTCTGAATGATACATTTGGGATGGTTTTATGATATTTTGGACAGGGTCAAGATGCTGTAGAAATCTTCAGTCTAAATCATTTTAATATATTTTTTAAAGATGCATTATGTAATAATAAGATAAAAACTGTGGCCATTCTTGCTATAAAATTATATAACGAAAAAAGGAATATATTGAAAATTTCATTCAAATTACTTTATTCTGAATGAAGTTATGAGTGTTGGAAGATATAGCCCAGAGCAGCAACAGTACAGGACAAACAAGACTGTTTTGATTATCCATTTTATCATTAAATCTTTAAATCTCGCAGGAGTTTTAATCCATTTAAATCTCTACCATCCGATGGGCTAGAGAGTTGATTATGGGCTTGTCATGTTAATAAATGTCTAAATAATAGTTTATATAACATTTGACAGGTGATAGAGAGAGAGAAATGGGGTTTAACGTCCACCCATAACAAACTAGGTCATTTCGGGACTAACACATGGTTCAATTTTATTTCAATAATTTGCTTGCGCATAGGGGTCCTTAGTAGTGGGAGCAAACCAGAGGAAACCCAAGAGGTTGGTCAGGCGTTCCTACTCCTTGTCACGTACAACCAGGGAATCGAAACCCCCACCAGTTGACCAGGCGATAAAGAAAGGCGATAGGCAGTTTTAGTTCTTACATAATGCATCTTTAAGCAGCTGAACAATATATTGAAAACTGATCCAGGAAAGTATTTTCCTGTCAAGTGTTATGTCATGTAAGTAACGGTTCCCTCAATAGTAACTACCCTATGTCACTAACATGTTAAAATTACAACAAGCAATAGAAAATGGAAAATATAAACTGATGAACAAATTTAAGATCAGAAAATTAATTATTTGTAAACAAGAAGTTGAGATCATTCCTTATATGCTATAGCAGTCAATGAGATATAAAATCAATGAGATATCTATAATCATTGTTACAAATATAACAACTTTAACAGAATAGCTTCCCTGATCATCTCAATAAATAAACTCAGTGATCTTCTACATTAGGTAGGGTTCAGGAAAGTTTAAATATTTTTTTTTCTGAAAAAAACCCCCTCTCCTAGCCTAACAGTAATAAATGGTAATTTAACAGCAAAATATATTTTGTAACATTCTCTATCAGTATTAACATAATTTGGAAAACATAACTATACCTAACAAATTGGCCAATTAAAATAAAAAGAACCTTAATGAGCATCAGTAAAATTCACTATTATTTGTATATTATTGCAAAAATATACATATCAAAAGTTATGGTGATTATAAAATATACTGTATTAGGCCTGGTTCTCAGACAATCCTTACCAAAAATCTGATGCTGGAGGGATTCATTCAATTATTTTTATAGATTTAGTTTCTGTAACCAGGATAAAATATTTACGTGCAGTAATTAATGAGCCTGTTTTTATTTTCTTTTTAAAAGTGAGGCAGTAGTATCTGGGAACCAGAATAGTTTTATATATGGCCTTATAACTCATCAATATATTTCAATATAAATATTTAAGGCTTGCAGGATATCACATTTAAATAATTTTTTAGATAGGCATAAAAGACGAATCTACTTTTTCAATTACTTCATTAACAACATTATTACAGAAAGCAATTTAAGTTATTAAAAGCATAATTCATAGAGAATCGGTAGATATGCCTTCAATATCACAATGTAAGCAAATGCACTGGGATCCTAGTTAAGAATCATTTCAGTGCAACAAAAAAACAATAACTTAATCTGAATACAAATATCTATAAATGCATCACACATAAAGACAGTACAATTCTGCCTGTAAAAAGTAAATTACATCTATTAGATAGAACTGGTAGAAGTCTGAACGGCCCCAACAGTGGCAGTTTAGTTCTTTAGGGACAACTATTAAAATTTAGCTTCCTATCTTTGTGTACAGAAAAACATTCAAACAAAACATTCTTTGCTGCTTTTAGCTAAAAATGTTTGAGGCTAATGAGGCTATTTATCATGATGCCAAAGCAATAAAACAGATTGGTTTGGCCCAAATATGAAACCATTGAAATTCTGCAATATGATATAAATTACTCTGTGTCTATCAAATAAGTTAAATATGTTCTATTCTATCTCTAGTCACTTAAAGATTATTAAGTTATTGCATACACAACAGAGACTTCACATTATTAGTAATTATGCAACAATTTAATGTTTTGTAATGTAATGGTCAAATTTAATCAGCTGTAGAACCCAAATTGTATTGTGGATTTCTATTACAAAATAATACAAAATAAAGGATTAAATTTTACATTATTAAATTATATAAGGAAGAAAAAATATTATACACCTTTTTAATGAGATAAACCAAATACATATGTTAACGAATAACTATACTAATTGGTAATAATACAGTATCTAATCACATGTATTAAAACATACGACTTCTAGTTACTAGCCAAATAT